AAGGGTATAGTTTCTTAAAGAGAAAAGAAGCTATACTTACCTCTTGGACACCGCATATACCTATGAAAGGATTCTCTATACCGTGTTGTCATTATAGAGTAAATTAAGAAGGCCTTACTCTGTAACAGTACTAATCTCCACCAAAATTTTATATACAAGAGCACCTTCTGCCAGTTATCTTGTATTTCAATACTTTTGGCTTACTTGCTGAATATATTAAGAAGTCCTCAGACAAGAAGTTGACCTTTATAAAAACTATTTCTTATATTATCTTACTATACTTTATAGTATAGGCAATGCTTCAACATAAGCTGCTTTGTTTTCTATTAGTATAAAAATTTTGGTCTAGATAATTATTGAAAAGGGTTCATTATCCTTGTTAAACTAATAAAAAATAACAGAAATAAAATTTTATATATAAAAAACTTAAATTATTACTAAAGCTTACAATCCTAACACTAACTCTAATACTAATTTTAACATCTTTATTCTAAACTTTTTTAGGTTATTTACAAATCCAATTTTCTTTTTTGGGGTTTTTAAAGCAAAGCAAATTATGTGAATTACTATCTTAATTAACTTTAAAGTTAGGGCCTATCAAGAGTTAAGATTAAAGTAGTTTTTATAATTAAAATTACCTTCTTGACATTTTTTGTTAATACTACAAAATAGATTTAAACTATAGTTACTTCTATTTTTTACATATTTCTTTTTTTTCTTTTATTTTTTTTTGTTAAGCTAATTTAAGATCATCAAATTTTAACAATTTGATTAATTAATTAGTGATTCACCAGTTAACCAGAGAGTGATTATAGTAAAATATGACTCAAATTACTTATAAAAATTGGGGTCTCCAAATGTGGTATATACACATCTAAACTTTTTTTTATACTAAGTTAATTATCTTTTTAACTGAAAAGACTTTTGTAAAGCTTGTCAAAACGCATCTAATAGTGGTTAGAGTGTCAAAATCAGCTTGGTGGGTGCTGAGATATCTTTAAAAAACATTTCTTTTACTATATAAATTTCTTTGCAAACAATATTATTGTTTGTAAAAAAAGTTTATATAGTAAAAGAAACATTTTTTAAAGATATCTTGGCACCCACCAAGCTGATTTTGACACTATGACCACCATTAGATGCATTTTGACAAGTTCTACAAAAGTCTCTTAAGTTAGAAAGGTGATTAACTTAGTATAAAAAAAGTTTTAAATGTATGCACATCACATTTAGAAATTTCTAATTTTTATAAGTAATTTGAGTCATATTTTACTATAATTACTTTTTGGTTGACTAGTAGATCACTAATTAATTATAATATAATCTGCTTTACTTTAAGTGATCCTTTTTTTTGAGGTTATATTATTTACAAAAATAAGTATTTTGTCCTTCCCTCATCTAATCATAAATACTATATTTTAATTGGCTAAAATTTTTTAAAAAATTAAAAAATTTAATATTAAATAACTTTTAATCTAGTGGTCTGTTTTGAATAATTTTATTACCAAAATATCTGTCTCAATGAAATAGTTCTAACAAGCCCAAAATTATTAAAATCCAATTACAGGATTTCAAGATTATTATAGATTTGTATTGCTTTAATTTATAATTTATGTATATATATATTTTTTCAAGTAGTTATACTATATTATAACTTTATTATTTAAGATAATAGAAGAAGCAATTCATATGAGTGAAATTATAATTGATTATCTAATTATGGCAAATATCATCTTATACTAAAGTGTAATTTATCTAGTTTCAATTAAATCTATATGCAACTTGCTAAAAGCAAAAGTAGCCTCTTGCTTCTTCTAGATTTATCTCAAATTTCAAATTTCTAAATCACTAGTCAGGATCTACTAGTCTATCATAACCACCTCTTTCTTTAAATTTTTTCTATCTAGATCTTGATAAAAAGACTAATTCATAATTTATTTACAATAAATAAACTAAAAAAAACAAATACAGAAAGGAAAAAAAAAAATGAATATAAAGAAAAATATAAAATAAATGTAAAATATACACTAATGATATAAAAGTAAAAAAAAAATAAAAAAATAAAAGAAAAGAGATCAAAGTTATGATCTATATACAAAAACAAAAGAGATATACTATTATAACCTATATGAGGCTAAAAAATTATATAATAACTATAATATTTGTATATTTCTCTTGTAAAGCTTTACTTTATTATTTATTTTTCTTTTCAATCAACTTTGCTTAGCATGTTCTAATTTATATTTTAAGCCAGGTACTGCTACTGTCTAAGAAACTGTATTTTAAGCCACCTGCTACTACTATTAGGATTCTATGCCTAAGGTTTATTCAAAATAATAGCACTATATCCAAAAATACATGGTTGTAATTTATTAGACTATCCAGATTTAAGATATAAACAATGTTAATCTTTTGAAAAAAGTAAGCCAAATCTTTACTTTTTTTCAAAAATTTTAAAAGACCAACCAAAAAGTAAAAAAAATATATAAAAAGTATCACTTGTATATATTAAAAGAGTGTAGCTTTTAAAAATAAAAATATTTGTTATATCTTTGAGTTCTAAGAAAACTCTTTATAGTTTTGTTAACAGAACTTTTATTGTTCGAAGCGAAGCAAGGACTATATGTTTACTCCAAATTATGCAATGTTTGTTGATAACACCCAATCAATTTATTATATTAAGTTATATTACATAATTCTGCATATTTCTCAAAATAACATATGAGACCCTCATAGCAAAAGGAGGGCTAAGCCAAAAAAATTATTTTTAAAAAAATTCAATATCTCGAAGAATCAGATTGATTAGAATAAAATTATTATAAAAACAAATTTTTAAATTTTTTTGTCTAGTCCCTCTTTTTGCTATGGGGGTCCTATATATGGCATCTTTGCAACTCTATAAGCTATTGTTATACAAGATTTTTATTAAAAAATTGTAATAAATCTATTTTTAGAAAAAAAATCTTAGCAAAGATTCTATATAATATTATAGAGGTTTAATATATTTATATATAAAAATATATATATCTTTTAGCCCATAATATTCATCCAGATATATTTTATATATATTATATATAAATAACTAATTTACAAAAACTAAAATATTATATAAATAAATTATAATAATAAAATAATAAACAAAATAAAGTAAAAAAAATTCTCATTCTAATATTTCATCCTTTGAATAGTCATCACATATCCTATATGAAATTAGTACTCTAGAAAGGATAGCTCTCTTCACTGGTTTTGAACCTAGATTACTTTGCTTACAGAGTGATATTCTAACCAGTAGTCTATATCAGAATAATTACCAAATTTTGAAAATTGACTTTTTAAAAAAATTATTTGTATATCTTGATTATCTAATTGTAAAATTTATTTTAAAATTATATAAAATTAAAATAAAAAAAATTTATTAAATTTAATAAGATAATTATTAAAATATTTAAGCTTAAAGTTAAAAAAAACTTTTATATAGAAAAATTTGCTCTTTTTTACTAACTTACTTTTATATATAGAATTAAAATATAGAGAAGATTATTAGGTACTATCCCTTAAGCTGTAGAGTTTGTATAACAATTTTAGCTTAAAAATAGTATAAATTTAGTTATGATTTATTTTTTTTAATATTTAAAATATTTAAATAAAATTTTATATAATAATATTTGAAAATAAAGATTATCTTTTTATAGTATTTATATTTAGGACGTTGATAAATCACACCACTGGTGCTCAACACCACAAAATTTAAGCCAATAAGAATTAAGCCACGTGATTGATTTACATAATACGGATTTTCAAAATTTCCAATCTAATACTGCAATTTTTGACCAATCAACAACGCGGTTTTATTATTAGAAAAAACATTACAGAGGTACAATTTTTGTGGATGCGCTATCTAAAATACTGCACAATACAACACCACCCAGGCCAAACATGGCACACTAATGCGATACAGAATTATACAAAAAAAATGAAATTACAAATACAGCAAAACAAGCAATGAAACTCACAACAATGGCACCGAAGCGACGACCAATAACTGGAGTGAAAAGCTTATAGAACGCCTTCAATCAAAAGCAAAAACAACGAAAAAATGAAACTATATGCATGGATTTGAATGACAGTTCCCAAGCTCAAAAATGCATAACAAACCTAAAAAAAAAACAAGTGTTAATAACTCATTCACAAGTAAAAAAGTAATAACGAAGAAATGAAACCATATGCCCCAAATTCGCAGATATACGCTTTACAGCTCCCAGGAAAGCTCAAGACGCCCTAACAAATTTAGAAAAAGAACAAGCGTTAGTAACTCTCATTTACAGACCAAAAAGCAAGGACCACGAAGAAATGAAACCATACACTCTGAATTCGCAAGAATATGTTTCACAGTTTCCAGAAAAGCTCAAAGACGCCCTATCAAACCTAGAAAAAAAAAAAACAAGTGTTAATATAATGCATTTACAAGCCAAAAAAATGAAGAAATTAAACCATACGCCCTGAATTTACAAGACATACGCTTCACAATCCCAGGAAAGCTCAAAGATGCCCTAACAAACCTAACATACACAAGTAAAAAAGTAAAAAAAATAAGATATAAGACTATACGTCCAAATTCGCAAAATATATGCTTCACAGTTTCCAGGAAAGCCCAAAGACATCCTAGCAAACCTAGAAAAAAGAAAAACAAGCGTTTAGTAACGTATTTACAATCCAAAAAACAAGAACAACGAAAAATGAAACCATACTTTCCAGATTCGCAAGACATACACTTTCCAGTTCTCAAGAAAGCTCAAAAACGCCTAACAGACCTAGAAAAAAGAACAAGCGTTAGTAACTTATTCATAAGTCAAAAGCAAGAACAACGAAGAAATGAAACTATATGCCCTGAATTTGCGAGACATACACTTCAAAGTTCCCAGAAAAACTCAAAGACGCTCTAACAAACCTAGAAAAAAAACAGGCATTAGTAACTCAAAAAAAGTAAGAATAACGAAGAAATGGAACCATATGTCTGAATTCGCAAGGCATATGCTTCACAGTTTCCAGAAAAGCCCAAAGGCGCCCTAACAGACCTAGAAAAAAAAACAAGTATTAGTAACGTATTCACAAGCCAAAAAGCAAGAACAACGAAGAAATGAAGCTGTACGCCTCGAATTCCAAGACATATGCTTTACAATTCCCAGGAAAGCTCAAAGACGCCCTAACAAACCTAGAAAAAAAAGAACAAGCATTAGTAACGTGTTTACAAGCCATAAAATAATAAGGAATAACAAATCATATGTCCAAGAAAGCTTTGGCAACACCTAATAAAAAAGCATTAGTAATGCAAGAACAAAATGAGATTAAACTATATATCAAATTATTAGATTGTAGTCTATCGATTTGTAGTTAAATTTAAGAATCTTATTAACACGTGAAATTGACATGCACAGACAGTCTAACAAAAAAAATCCTACTGAAAAACGTTTTTATTTCAAGAAAGGCCAATTTTATTTTAGACCAGGGGTTTAGATTCTTATCCTAGACCGCAATTGTATTTATTGGAATAATTTTAAAAAATTTATTTATATAGCAGATAGGAGGTTTATGGTAAGGAACCTTGACCCCTGGTCTATTTTAAGGACGCTCTTCAAGAAATTGTCTAAGGCGGAGTAGAATTACATGATGTTACGCTAATCAAATTATAAAAAAAAGTAAAATATAAAAATGGTAGTCTGAATCTACTTGGGGGCATATTAATCAAAAATGTCGAGAAGGCAATTTTGCTTATATAAAAACGAATTCTAACCCTAGCCTAACTATAATCTAAAGTGATTCTAACTCTAAAAGTTAATTAATAAGAGTCTACTCCGCTTTGGACATATGAGTTCAACTGCCTCAGAATAAATTAATTCGATTCAGTACTGTAATAAATTTTTTATGCGGTTAATCGGTTCCTCTCTAGTTACAAAGCGCAATTTGAACCAAGTGACCAAAATCACAAATGACAAAACCAAGTTCAGTACAATACAAATTATTTTATTAATTCAAACTCATACAATTCGCATTTGATTTTCAAAATAAAAGCCTTCCAACTATTATAAAATTATGCTAATTTCCTTCGAGACAAGTACGTGCGTTGTGCCCTCCTTTGTTACAAATATCACATTTTCTCTCTTTGCTTTTACTAGATTCACTAACATTTAAATCTGCATCTTATAATATTTTTCGAGGTCTTCTAACCCTCTTCTCTTTGTCACCTTGATTATGCTCAGGTATCTGCTTTCTTTTTCCCTTAATATCTGAGTTTACATTATTTGACCCTTTGGGCCGGCCCTTCGTCTTGACACTTATGGGATTACTGATATTAAGCACAAACTCGGCAATATTATCGCCACTTCTGCCTTGACTTACTTCATTTTCTACTTCATTTTCCATTTTACTAGCAAAGTTTTTATGAATTTCATAAAGTTCCTCTACTTTACCCATTGCAATGGCTAGATTTAATGTTTTTTTCAGGATACCAAATCATTCTCCCCATTGTTGTTTTCGAGTCATCTCTTCGTGAGCCTCGGCAGTAAAGACGTGAGTTCCCCAGAGGCTCTCCAAGTGTGAAAAATCAACATTAACCCTTTCATATTCGACTGCACCAAATTCCTCACATGGCATTGCTGAAACCGCTAGCTCAGCAAGAAAATTAGCCCCTAGTACACACGAATCTTGATACCACCGTTACGGTATGAGTTCAATGTGGAATTTAGCATTCGGAGATACAAGCATGGTGGCGAAAAAATGACGACATATAAGACCACAGTTTATTAATGTTAGGCATATACATAGGTGTCCAGTGTCATCATATAACACAATAAAATGTTCACTCTTCTTACTAATGGAACGGACATGCCAAAGTTCACAAATTTTCATTATATCGAGGCCAGAGATCAGCTAATCAAGTTTTATTAAGCAGGCGTCGAACATATTCTCAAAAAATACACCCTTTGGTGAATCGGAATTAATCTAAAAAAGAGTATAAAATAAGACTGCTGCAAAGCACAAACGAAATACTTAATACTTGTGGCGGCTTATGCTGAGATTTGGGGTCCCTATTTAAATCTATAATATCTACTAAAATCCCCATATACTCTTTATTAGTAATGCTAACCCTAAACCCTAACCTAACCGTGAAAAAAAGGCTACAGAAAAGATCCCTTACAATTTCATATCAAATTCTCAGCATAAACCAATTTTAGTATAAGCTGTTATACACACCTGTCGTCCGAGTTCGCAATCCAAACTAGCTAATCGACACCGATAATGCATGCTTCGGTTCATTTTATAACATTGTAATTTAAGCATTGCCGGTGTTAAGTAACGTTGACATAATATATCAACCTTTTGGAAGTAATGATCATGATAATCTTCATCTTAGCTTGCAGGCAGCTTACCAACAGCTTCATTATAGCTAACAAACCGGCTTTTCTTTACTAACAAATTTTCAATCACATGTTCAAGCTCCAAAAGCGACGATTTCCTATTAACATTGTTCTTAATAATTCCATTGTAAGATTCAACACGCTGCATGCTTTGTATTCCCACATTAAATGCACGGTGCGTGAAACACAGAGCCCAGGCTTCCCGACACTGGTAAAGATGACATTGCATGTAATTAGTGGCACCGGAATATTCATTTAACAGCGTAGCCCATCTTTCCTCAAAAATTGATTCTACACGACTATTGCGTGTATAACAAAAATCCGAAAAAAATTTACGCCACTTATCATCACCATATTTGCTTATAAAATGTTTTTCCAAATTTTTTCGGATGTGAAATAGACAAAAGTGATGCTTTGTCGTCAGCTAGGAGGTACTTACTGCGGCAATCATGGCGGAATCAGCATCAGTGTAAAGCAAGCTTGGTGCCAATCCACCCGTTGTATTAAGAAGGCTAGTAAATAGCCATGTAAAACTGTCCTTAGTTTCATCAGAAAGGAGGGCCGTGGCAGCAAGGTGAGAACGGTTATGATTGTCTACAAGGATTACAACACATAAAATCATCGAATAATGGTTGGTTTTGGCTATCGTATCAAAAAGAACAACGTCATGAAAACGAGCTCAGAGCCCTTGTTGAGATGGTCTTATCCTGTAAGATGATTATCCTGTCCTTCAAATCGGGCATTAACATGAAAGGCTGGGTTTTCTTGCTTCTGTTTCATCAGTTCAAGATACACAGAGCCAGCGTCACTCTTAACAAAATTTTGGCAGCAAATGAATTGTGTGTAATTATAGACATTGCAGGGGTGAATATTTTTTACGTTGTAAAACTTCAATTATTGAACCAACTTTTATACCACAATTCGCTAGTAACTTTATATTGTCACACATCGTCGGGGTGAACTTTCTATAGTGTGATGAAAGAACATTTATATTTTTCACAAGCTTATGATTATGCTGATCTTTGATCTTCGTTATATAGATTAGATTATCATTCTTCCAACGGTAAGCATTAATGCGAAACTTGCAATCACAGGTGTTATGGCCTGTGTTATGACTTTTATTAATATGGGCTTTCTTCCTTGGTGTATACGGCTGACCTCTCATACAAGCATAGGTACGTCGTCGAGATAAACTATCACCTTTGTTCTTGTCGCTGTACGTGATTGTGAATGCAAATCCTTGTTCTAACCCATGTAATTTCAACCATCTAATAGTAAAAAAAGGCTTTAGTTTTCTTATCATAACTAAGGCGTCTCAGTAATAATACACAACTTCATACCCAACCACTACTTACTTATCAATTTCTTCTCAGCTTTTAAAATTCATCCCAACTGCAACTGGATGTAATAGCCCATTCCCGGCTTCAGTTTCATTTTCATATTCAATACCATTTTTAGTCTCTTGAAAAACAACAGATTGGTCAAGGTCATGAACAACTTCATAAGAATGGTTATGGACAACAGAATGTTCATAGACAACGGGATGGTCAAGGACAACAGAATAGTTAAGGACAACAGAATGGTTATTAACAACAAAATGGTCACGAACAGAATGATTGTGGGCGACAGAATGATTGTGGGTGACAGAATGGTCATGGATGACAGAATAGTCATGGGTGACAAAATGGTTGGCACTATAAAGGTCACTATGAAAGTTACCGCAAGCAAAAGACTTCTCGGCACCGTGAAGGTCACTGCAAACAGAAAATTCCTTGGCACTATTAAGGTCACCGCAAACAGAAAATTCCTCGGCACCACAAGGGTTACCGCAATTAAAAGACTTCTTGGCACTATGAAGGTTACCGCAAACAGAAAACTCCTCGACACCACAAGGGTAACCGTAAACAAAAAATTCTTCGGCACTACAAGGGTCACCGCAAGAGGCTGATTCTTCTTGAAAAAAATCTGCAAGAGAAAAATTCGTTGAGAGAAAATTCTTGGCTTATATCTGTGTTACTTGTACTACCTTCGCTATGCATTACTATCGCTATATCGTTATCGCTATTACAGTATTGTACTAAAAAAAAAAAAAAGGGCGTAACGGTAAGTAAATACTTATGCAACTTATATGTATACAAATCAAAATAGTATAATTTTTGAAAACCTGTTTGATTGGCCCAGTTTATTATTTATGTGGTGTTGAACACCATAGGTGTGATTTATATATTTTGTATATTTATATTATAAGAAAAAAATTTTAAGTTACTTATAAGCTAAAAATAAAGTATTTTTTTAATTAAAAAAGTTTTTACTATTTTTAGACGAACTCTTTAAATATTGATTTTAAATATATAATTCTTAATACAATATTAAAGTTTAGATTAAGGATTACAACTTTTATTATTTGACTTTTAGTGATTAACTTGTAAAAATTATGACTTGTATTAGAA